TCATTGTTGTTCTTGTAGTTCTTCGTGGTTTGTTTTGAAGATAGCTTGAGTATATTAGCACAGTTGAAAATGGTTGTTCAAGAGTATTGACGTGAAATAATGGAATATGGAAATAAATGAAATGTACCATTACTGCGTACTTATATATTTTTCAAATATTTTCATGACCAATACATATAATCAAATTTTATGATTGATGTAAAATTTTTCGTTGATTGTACCAGTGCCCTTGACAGGAACCTCTATAAAATAATTAGGTATATTGGTCACGATTCTTATTGATTCATGATAAGCTTTGCATTCCCTGAAAGAAAAGTGCTTGAGAATAAAAATTGTTCAACAATATTTTCTGAGATCTAAAAATCAATGAAAGAGTAGATTATTGCTTTTCAATGGATCATCAACAATTTTAAAACTTTTTATTGAATTCATGTATGGAATAATTGATTGAATCCATATCGGGATGAGAGCAATAATTGATTTTATGTTACAACACAAATATTTGAACTAACCTTGGGGTGAAATAAATGAAAATATCGGTGAATTGTTTATTGATTCCTGTACTTTTGGGAATTTCTCCGAAATGAGGAATAACGTAAAAATCATGTGCGGTAGAAGACTTGTAGATCTCGAATTTAACGGCACAGCCTGAAATATAATTCATGATTTCATTACCTCAAACCTATTGTTCAATTTGTTACCTGTCAAATTATAAACTGATACTACAGTCTTTCTAGTAGTGTTCAGTAAGACACTGTCGTACTTCACAACTGCTGGTTTGACCATTATATTGGGGAAATGGATATACATGTCTATTGGAATTTTCTGAAAAAAAAAGAACAGTTGGTGACAAATGTATAATTATACTTCAACAACATGGGATAACTCATATGTTTATATGAACATACAGAACAAATAAACTAATTGAAGCAACAAAAGTAACGAATACGTGCAGATTTTTCATTCTTTCATTTGTACTGTTTCCTTACTCTTTTCTCTTGATTTCCGAGGCCAAAATCTGCCTCCGTTAAGATAAGTGTTTTTTTGATAGGCAAAATTATTGAATACGATATGTTACTGATAAACAGAACATTTTTCTTTGTGAAACATACTTTGAATTCCCGCAGTAACT